CATGTTTTTGCCCCCCCCCCCCACACACGCACACCATCCCCCGGCGGCAGCTGGTTCTTAGGGTTTTGCATTACATGATAACCCCCCAACCCCCACCTCACTCCGCTCCATCCCATCATCTGGGCCCCCTCAAAACACACACGCGTATACCCCCCCAGCCCTGCAACGCGAGTACGGAGTCCTGGGCCCTTCTAGACTCTCACGGACGCGGCTCTGTTGGGCTGGACACGGTGTTGAGGATGGTGTCCACTATCGCGGGGTGTGAGAAGGTGGGTTTTTGGAGGGGGAGAAAGGGGGGGAAGAGGGGGAGAGGGGGCCAGGAGGGTTGGGGGGTAGGGGGGCCGGGTAATGTGGGTAAAGGGAGGTAGTGTGTGTGTATGTAGGTATGTAGGTATGTTTGCATCGTTTGCATTTGTGTGTTCAGCAAGGGGCTAACGCTCTGCTGCCTAGCGAGCAGTCAGTCAATCGCTTTCCTGGGGGAAAAAGGGGGCGTGAGGGCAAGTGGCTGACTGGGTTGCTCGTCCCCCCTGTAATGTCGTACACACCTTACCGACCAGCCGATGGGGCCGCCCTCGGTTTCCTTATCTCCCGCAGCTTGAACAAGATGACGTACAAGTGGTACGGCAGTTGCTGGAGATGACGCCCGAGGGCAATGTTGTACGGGAGGAGGTATGTACGGCATCCTTTCCCAAGTATATATGCTTGCAAGTGGACACGGTGTTTCGGTGGCTGTGTTGATGGCGTCGTGTGCGTGCGTGTGTGTGTGTGTGTGTGTGCGCACAAGCACGTGGCTCGTGGGAGACCCTGGTTTGGTCCGTTCCCAATCGTTTCCCCATCCTTCCCCCGCTCACATCCCTTCCCCCACCAAACCCTAAGTTTACACCCACCACCTTGCGGCGAGGTCTTCGCGTCCTCATCCCCACAATCCCCACGTCACCTTCATTACCTAACCACCACCTAACCGCCACCCAACCGCCACAGAACTGGGCTCAGTTGGGCAGTTGGGCTCCCCGGCTGGAGGACCTCACACCGACGCAACGGAGGATGTTGGCGAAACACGGGGCGGGGGGTTACTCATTGCGCGGCACCCCCCGGTTTAAATGAGGGCTGCGGGGGGGGGGGGGGGAAAGATCGTGGGGGAAAACACAACTCGTACTGGAAGGGAAATGAAGAAAGGGGGGGGAATTGAAGAACCCCAGAAGAGTGAAGCTGAGAGCAGAGATAGGGATAGACGGATACTCCTGGTAGGAATCTGTAATAGCTGGTACACAGTACGGCTATACAAATACGCGAGAAGCGCGATCACAAGCATTTCGAGAGGCCTTTTCAGCGGCCAGCTACTACAGAATCTGTTTGGGGGGGGGGAAGGGGGAACGGACAGTTTAATAAAGCAGGACGTGTGCCGTTTTTTGGAATTGGTGCGGTAGTTGTACGGTAAGGATTGCCTCGCGTACGGGTACGGGTCGCCTCGCGCTGGAAGGGTCCTCGGCCCTAGGGGCGCCCCTAGTAAGGGGCGGCGGGTTTGTGCCGAAATCTATTTGAACACACGATTCTGTCCGGTGCATGTTGATGTACTTTATTTTTGGTGTTGTACGAGTAGTTGATGGGGGTTATTTACGTGTATATATGTGTGGGGGGGTGGGGGAGAGGGGGCCCCACTTGCTGATGGGTGCAGGATTTTGCCGTGTTGCCTCATCTCCCCCTGACTTGTGTGCTCGTCCCTTAAGACGCATTCACACACACACTCTCTCTCTCTCTGAAATAACGAAACCACACATTTTCAAAACATTAAGACAGACATATATTCATATTATTGAAACATACGCATACACACATGCGCGCGACTTAGGGTTTTAGGGTTTTAGTGCCAGATAGTGGTTTCCCAAACCTAATGTCGTACATTCGTACTTGTTGTGTTGTACCGCTGTCAAGGGAACCTACTTGAGAGAGACCTGGTCTCCAGGGATGCTTTGTTGTGTGATCACACCAATTACCGTACTGTCCCGTACCTGCCGTGGTGTTTCGGTGGGCACGTAATAACACAGCGCGTAGTACGGCAATGCTGCTGAGGCTTTTTGAATTGTTCACCCCTCCACCACTGCATGCCGCGCTACCGCGCTTTGCTTGGTTTTACGCTTTGGGGAAATCGTTTCCGTTTCTTTTCTCCTTCGGAAGGAAGGGCCGAGCCCGATGCGAGCCTGTGAGCCTGCCGGGTGGTGATGGGCGATGATGCGTCTGGCGGTGTGCGACTGGCGGCGGGCACATACGCAGCTTGCCGTAGCCTGGTCTGTGTGCCTGTATGTCTGCTAATGTATGTATGTCGTTACAGGGTGGTATAGCTTCACCAGCGGCCCCCTTTCCCTTGGAGGCAGTTCCCTGCTCTCCCCTGCGAGAGGGGCACCACATCCGATTCACCACATCCGACTTCAGAATGTATTCGTTGGGTTCAGCAACTCACCACCCGCATCCAACCAAATCTAGCGGATCAACGGCGCCTCAACTTAGTTCCTGGTCAGCTCGCAAGTTGATATGTATGTAGGTATGTCGGTGTATCTTTCTCCACAACCCGCCAACCGTAATCACCGATGCGCATTCCGCCATTCCAGACACCAAAGAAGGGTGAGGGGCTTTTCACAACCTCAAGGGTATTCCATCCGTGTTGTGGAATAGTGTCAGTTTCAGTTGTTAAGTCCAGTCAGCCCTCCTTTAAACTTCTTGTAGGACAAGCCGTACGATCTGCACGACTTGTGTCCGCCCATGTCTCCTTAAAAGCTCCTGCTTAGCGCTGAGTTCTTTGTCCTAAGCCTAATTACGTGTAACAAATCGTGCGCAGGTTCCTTCGCTGAATGTGCATCACGCCACGGCACTAGGATTTATACAAAACAGGTTACGAGCCCTCCCCCCCTTCCCCCTCCCCCCTCCCCCCCCCCCGGTTTGGCGGGAAACCCAAAATGGCCGAGGGCAGGATCGCACACTCAGATAGCTGTGTGTGTAGGACAGGTTAACATGGTTTATATTCGGGCACCAGCAGTTGTGAGCAAGTGCTCGGCCAAGCTGGGAGCGGCGCTTATTAAGCCGCGCACAGCCGAGAACGCCGCGACACACAAAGCTGCCACCAGGGCAATCCTGATTGAGCTGCTTTCGGATGACGACCTGGATCTCTACCAGGAATATATACAGACGTCATGCAGCTGCTCAAGGCCCTCGAGACATGTATAACAGGGGCTACGCGTGATTTACACGGGCACAAACACCACGGGGAGCTTTTTTTTTCCTTTCATGGCTGCAAGTAGAAACCAGACACGAACTTCAGGAAATGCGGCAAGGAAACCCTAGGAAACTACAGTCTCCCCGCTCTGAAGCAAACCGTCCCGGGAGCGTCACTTCTTTTTAGAAGTCTTCCGTCCCTTAGATTTTTCCGGAGCTTGAGGGTGCTTCTTAGACGCAAGTTTGCGTTCATATTCGTCGATGGATTCAGACAAGGGAACAGACTGGCTACATTTCCCTTGGATTATTTCAACGATTACTGTTAACAATAACTGTTAATTCCGTAACTTCGTCTCCAACTGATTCAAGATCCTGAGGCTTTTCATCGCTATCAAAAGGAGATCATCCACGCAGACTAGCTGTTACATTCGTTCCCCATTCACGTCACGGTAAATAAAAAAATGACGTAAAAATGACGAATGTCTGCACGCTAAGTGTTCGGGGCATGGAGCGTGAGGACGGTAGCGCCCACCAACGCCCTAGCACTAGCTACCCATCCACCTAGCTAAACTAAAAGATAAATACCTCTCAGCAGCCGATTCGGCACATTAAGACAGGCCCAAGAGATGGAAGGGCGCCTTCTTGAATTTTCTTTTCCCCATTCCCCATTCCTTTCCCCGATTCCCATTTCTTAAATTTTCAAGAAGGCGTACCGGTATGCGGCTTGCGCACGTTGTCCAGTTTATGTGTACGTGGGATAGCGTGGGGAGTTGCATGGGAAAAATATGTTTGGGAACAACTGTCGCGAGAACGGTTGAGGAGGTGTCAGATGTGGACAACTCATGGCCTAGGGCTAAGCGGCAAGCCAGGTGCGCGGTGATTCCTGACAGCTTCCTTCGTTACTGTCTGCGTAACAAGACAATTGTGAAAACCAAGGTCATATGATGGACCAGAGTTAAGATGTTGGCGCGTTTGCACACGCGGAGAGTCGTAAAGCAGGACCGTGGCGCAAAGCGACACCGAAGCTGCCTGACACATGAAGAAACGGTCTGCTGCGCGGGCTAGAAGGTGAAGCACGCATGACCTGAAGTTTATTTACTTCGCAAGCTCCTTTGTAACATGTACGATGTATAAATGTTTCTAAGTTGGACTAATGGGTTGCGTGGGCAGCGAGGAACTCCTGGCACCCATTCCTAGGCTGTCCGTTACTATTAAGATTCTGCTAGCATAGACGTGCTGTAAGCATGCAATTTCAAATGCGTCCTTTTGTTTGCCTGCCGGCTGGCCCCCTGGGTGCACCTTCCCTTCCCTCGGGGGTGCACTATCATAAAAGATGGACCTACGGTCATAAACATGGTAGAATCCATTTCATTTTTTACTCTGTAAAGTATGGAAATTTTGGAGCCCTGAACTCACAGCAACCCGCTCTGCACTCCTTGGCTTTTCGTACGACATCCAGCCACATGTGCACCCAGCGGCAAATTGCCACATGCGCATCACAAAACATATTGGTCAAAGGAAAAGATACAAGCGACACATACTACCTTGCTTAGTACCGTCACAGCCCTTCGTTCCTTCCCAATAGCTCACATTTTCTAAGTAGTCAGTTCGATGTACATGCGATATGTATTCAAATATGGTTTCATTTTGGCCTAAGATTGTGAGTCGTTTCAAGTAAGAGCTCCTACCCCAGCAGCTAGAGTAATCCCTGAGGGTAGCATGGCGTCCGCCGAGGGTGTGGGCGCCGTCATCTCGGGCCTGGAGACGGAGTATGAAAGGTCACGCAAGTTCCTCGCGGATTTATGTCGCTCGCTCGAGGCACGCGGCTTGCTGAAGCGGTCTAGCCCTATCGAGGCTAGCTCCCTCGCAACGAAGGAATCCAACGGAGCAGCCTCATTTGTGCAAGACGTCGATGTTACTAACCCATTTGCGCATTTTGATTTGAGCGAGGAAAATAGTGGACTGAGCGTCAGCTCCGAATGTTCAACATCCGCCCCTCAGATGCCAGACCCTGAAACCCCGCCCCCTCAAAGCCCCAAATCCAGCAATTCTCCTTCTATTCACACAAATTCTGAGATTGGAAATCAAAAGCGTGGAGAAAGCCGGCTCGTTCCAACGACAACATCGCCGATGCGACCCCAGGCTTCGGGCCGCGTTGCCAAGAAGCTCTCGACCGCCATCTCCAGCTACACGTGCATTGACCCTTCCACACAGGATGGTATTTCGGATCGTCCCTTTCTTGGAGCTACGGAGACTGTCTGTGTGCCGATGCGCCGAGCATCCATAATCGGTGGTTCCGGACTCTCCCTGGATGCTTCCCATGCTGCTGCGCATTTGCTCATTATGCCACCACCACAAACCGCCCTCGGGGGCGGCCGCCACCGCCGCTCCTCCCTGGACTTCGTTCCCGCGCCGCCGGCCCATCACCGCAAATGGCTAGACGGCACTTTCCTCGGTTCGCAGCACCCGCCGTGTCCGCTGACGTCACAGCAATCGCCCGTGCTGACATCCTTGGCGTCGTCGTCGACGCCGCAGCTGCAGCAGCAGCAGCTTTCAGCGGCAACGGCCGGAACCTTTGCGCAGGAGGTACGGCGGCGGCGGGAGTACGGCATGGGACCTATCCTGTCGTCCACTACAAAGCACTATAGAGGTGCTTGGTGTAGTTGTATTCACTAACAAGATTGAATTAATATATGTATTCACTAATACGATTGAGTTAATTTGTATTTACCAATAAGATAGAATCAGAATGTATACACGGCACAGGCGGGTGGGATTTGGGTCAGCACGTTCTTATGTTGTACGGGAAAAAAGGACAAATGTACGGCATGGTACGGCCTGCGATCAGCAACCATTGATCGTCAACGAACCTATTTTTTCACATTTTCACTTTTTTTCACAACGACGAACTACAATCTGTATATACAGGGCCAAAAATTTTACCCGCTCGTGAAGCGGGGTTCCCTCGATGTTATCGGCGGCCCTGCTACTGCCGTCGGCGCTGCCGCCACCGCCGCCGCCGCTGCTGCTGCCACAACCGCCACAACCACCGCCACAGCGTCCCCCTCCTCGCGGCCTTTCTCCGCTGCCTTGCTCCGCTGCAACTCCGGCGCTTCCTCTACCGCGACCGCTACCGCCGGCGTTGGCCTTGGCAGTAGCACCTGTGCCGGCAGCGGCAGTGGCAGTAGCATCCTCTCCAGACCCGCCGTCGGCGTCCCTCGACGGGGATCTTTGGGCCTCTACCCCGCACATTGGGCACCGCAGCCGCCCCAGCTACAGCAGCTACAGCATCCGCCGTCGGAGAGTGGAGGTGGACCTCCGCCGCCGCCGCAACAGCAACAGCAGCAGGTGTGTTAATGGAGGGCAGCAAGCTAATCTAAAAGTTGTATTTACCCCCCGGGGATTCCTTCCCTTTGGTGCGCAATTAAAAATAAAACTTAATTAATAAAAATGAAATCCCCAGCATTACGCCATTACACTACGCTTCTGTGCGTGCTTTCTTCTCTCTCTCTATATATATATATCCATCTACCTATCTATCTATCTATCTATCTATCTATCTATCTATCTATCTATCTATCTATCCATCTCTCCATGGTCTGTCGTACTCCTCCCCCGGGGGTCCTCATCACCCCTTGCTCTGCACCCTAACCCCCAACCCCGCAGGCAAATGGCTTTCCGGTCGACCCGCCTCAGGCCAAGAAGGGCTCCAGCCCCACCACCCAGCCGCATCTGCCCCTCCTTGCGCACACAAACAGCATTCTGACCTCCGCCCTAAACTCGCCCATGGCCCTTCCGAAAAGCCCTGCCGCCGCCGCCGCCGCCGCGGCGGCGGCGGCGGCGACGAATGCCGCATTTCACATCAGCACGGAGATCGACAGTGGCAGCGGCGCCGTCAGCAGCGGCTCCGCGGTGGCAAGCCCGTTCAGCATCAGCCGCGGCGGCAGCGGTACGGCACGTCGCAGTAGCTTAAGCGGACCGCCGCCGTCCTCTGGCGCCGCTGCCGCCGCTGCCGCCGCCGCCGTCACCAGCTTGCTGGAGCAATCCTCCTCACCCCCTGGATCCGGTTCGAATCCATGCGGCGACATGAGGCCTCGATCTGGTCGATTCAGCCGCTACAACCACAACTACAACCACCACTATCAGGGCCCCCAGCAGGTGGTCCATATGCCCCAGGTCGCCCCATTCGCCACCACCACCGCCGCCTCCGTGCCACCAGCAGCAGCAGCAGCATCCAGCTCCGCGGTACCAGCCGCAGTAGCTGCTACCGCTATAACTGGTACGGCAGCTACTACCGCAGCCGCTGCTGTTCAGTTTGCTCATCATGGGAACCCCCCCGGCGCTGGTGCCGGCGGCGGCGGCGGCGGTGGCGGCGGTGGTGGTGGTGGTCGTGAATTAGCTCGGGAACGCAGGTCCTTGAGCTCCGGGGAGGTCTCCTTTCCGGAACGGTTGCTTTCGCGGCTGAGTGTGGCGTTGAGCGGATCAGGCCTGGGTGGCAGTAGCGGCAGCAGCAGCGGCGCCGCTGCCAAGGCAGCAGCGCTCAGCGGCAGGGGCAGCTGACGGGGGCGATGTCGTTTCTGTCCTGAAAACACGTCGGCAGCGGCGGCGGCGGCAGCGGCGGCATCGACGACGTCGATGTTCGTACGACAGTAGCAGCAGCAGCATCCCCAGCACCAGGTCACCATGGCCTTCACTCACCCACTTTCAATGAGAACCTGCGTTGGTCAATCTGGTGGCTGCTCGGGACCTCAGGCTGGGCTGCAGCGCTCAATGTAGGATGCTACTGCGGCTGCGGCTGCGGCTGCTACATTTGCTACTGCTGATACCCTTGCTACTGCTACCTTGCCGCTCTTGCAGAGGCATCTCTGGCGACAATTACGGCTGATAGATAGGTACTGTGGCGGCTGCGGCTGCAGCTGAGGCTCCGTTTGCCGCCGAAGCCCACATATGTACATACATATATACATACATACATCATATGGAGAAACATCGTGTGTGCGTGCATGTGTGTATGCACACGTAGGTTTGGACGTAGAAGTTGAGTCGTCCGTGATGTGTTCAGGGAACGGCGATCTTGTAGATATATGTCCACCTGTCTGTCTGTCTGTCTGTCTGCCTGTCTATCTGTCTGTTCGCAAGTCCACGGCGGGGCCACAGATGGCACTTTGCTCTACCGGCCTGCTGCTTACTGCTGGCCACGTCAGCAAGGCCGAGCAAGCGAGAAGCGAGTTTTTTTGGTCAAAGAGCGAGAAATACATGTTCCAACTGCCATGTTCCAACTGCCATACAGAGCCGTACATTTTGCGTACGGATTATTGATTACATGGATTATATTACGCGAATGTTCCATCAGCTCTGGTGGCATACATACACACATATTAATGAGGCTGGCTTAGGGAGTTGGGGACGAGGCTGCCAGCAGGACGAGGAGGAGGAGGATGTCTTTGACGTGTACTGCAGCTGTACGTCAGTCGCTGTACAGCCATGTACAACAATGTCATGTATGCGTCAACAGTGACGACAGTCGAGCGACCCGGTGTTGTTGCTATGTATGTATGTTGTTACAGGGTGGTATAGCCATGTATGTATGTAGTATGTAGTATGGCTACGTATATATGACGCTGTCCCAGTACTTCTGTACGCCTTGATTTTAATGACCAATCGGATTGTACGACACTGTGATGTGATGTTACCCTGAAGAGTATTGAGTGCCAGCACGCAGGCACGAGGTCGCTACAAGCAGGAGTGATGAGTTTGGGCTGATACGTAATGCGACTGTGCGGCTGGGGCTGCTGCTGTTGAGGGGATGGAGGACGCATCATACGTACAGTATGCTGTATGGTCGGCTGGCAGTTGGTGGTTGGCAGTTGGCGGTTGATCGTACATCTTTTGGAGGGTAATTGAGGCTAGAGGTTGTGTGGTTGGGGCTATAGAGGTTGTGTAGTTGAGGCTAGAGAAGATGAGAGAGAGAGTGTGTGTGTGTATGTGTGTGTGAATGGCGATCGAAGAAAGGCGCTGAAAGGAGCTCCAAGGGGGCGGGTAACTGAGCGAAATGGACCGGCGAGGGGGATTTGAGGAATATGCCATAGAGTCCTAAATGCCATTATGGAACATTCCTGGGACCGAATAACTGAGTAGCAAGCCGTTATATATACTGGAAGTTAGTATGGAGCAAAGATAGAAGGGCAGCACTTGGAGGAGGAGGAGGAGGGAGAACTTGCTGGGTTCCGGAGCATGTGTCAACCGCACATTGCGCCGACCATAGCAGCTGTACGGGAACTGTACGGCAATTATATACGTGTGCGTGTGTAACGCACACGTTAGTGCGAGCACGCACGTGAAACTGTGCGGAGGGCGGTTATCAGTCATTGCGATCTTGTGGATTGTGAGGAGGGTTGCAGGAGGGGATCAAATTGGTGTCACATTGTTAACAGTCTATGCAATGACCAATTACTGATGTCGTACATGTCGTACATGTGCAGCAATGCGATGTCCAGGCCAGGGTGCGCGTGCGCGTGCGCGGACATCAACAACAACAACAACAACAACAACCTGGGCGGAACGATGGATGGCAGTAGTCGTCAGTTCGCCGCGACAAGCTCGTCCAAAAGGGCCATCGTTGTTGCGGTTGGCTGTTGCGCGATTTAACGAGATTTCATCTCATGTGTACTGAAAAAACCTTTTTGTTTGTCTGGGCAATACTGTCGCTCCCGACATGGGTGCAACTTGTTGCTGACGTGTGTGCGCGTATTACAATGGAACGGCGGACGACGGCGCGGTGCTGGATTTTGTCAAGGAGCGAACTAGGTCTCTCCTGGACGCTCGGAGTAGGATGGAGAAGCCGCCTTGTGCCCTTTTTTCCTCTTTGCTCTTTTATATACTTTAGAAACGGATGGATTCTCCGACTCCGTGAACATCCACGACCAACGAAACAGATGGGGAGCAGATGACGCAGTCGAGCGACACGTTACTATTAGTCAGGTAAAGAGCCTTTGCTTTCTGCATCTCAAATTCACTAATCCGATCTTCCCGCTGCTCGTCTTTCCGCTCTGAATTTGGTCGTACCGGATTTATCTTTTTTTCAATTCTCCTGCGATATGCTGCTGTCTTTCTTCTTGATGGTCATGAAAGCATCCGCAGATGATTTTCTGATACCTTTTATTGAAATCTGCGCAAGCAAGCTATTCGAGGCGCGCTTTGAAAGCATGCCAGCAAACGACATGTCGTACGTCGTACATGCATGTCATATGTCGTACATCGTACATCCGACGAGCTATGGCAAAGTTCCACATCGTTGTTTAGGATGATGTAAGACCATGAGGGCCATGAGTGGGGGAGCGCGAGTGTGTCGGGTCATTTAGTTTAGATGGTCCGCACAAGGGATGATCCGCCATTGCGTGGAAGGCTGCTGGTGGGTTGGTGCTGATGCTCAGTCCCGCCCCTTCCGTCGAAGACGATATCGTGATACGGTTATCGGATACATGATCGGATCCCATGTGGTGGCCGTGTACCACCAAAACGACGCAAAGCGAAAACATGCGGTTACAGAACACGGAACTGCAGACCTAACGCAACTAGGTCTGCCTGTGTTTTTCCTTTTTTCGCGGTGTACGAATTTCCAAATAATACGACATTTGCAGTACGCTTGGTTGGTGAAATGATTCATTCATTTACGATCCTGGATTCTATCAACCATCGTTGAGGATGCTTGACATGCTTGTAGTGCGATGGGAAATAGCTCTACTACATTTTTTGTAGTACGTTTTGTACGACACTATTGGTATTAAAGAGCGAGAGCCCTGAGCTGCCAGGGTGTATCACCTCAAAACGCGGATGAGATCAAGACTGATTCGTGATATGTTCGCGGCATCGAACGATGACAAGTGTGTGTTCTCGGCGGCCTTCGCGGTGGTCACGCATTCCCGTTTGCATGTGTTTCTGCGTGTGTTTGCGTGTAATTTTGCACGCGATTATGTATGTATGCATGTATGTATATATGTGTGTGAATGTATTGTGTTAAAAAATACGGAAGCGGCCTTGGGTTCCGGAGCCGCGAAATGCGTACTAGCTACTTTGGCTGAACGAAGCCCAAACACACCGCACACATCTTCCCCCTCCTCTTCCCCCTCCTCTTTCCCCTCCTCTTTCCCCTCCTCTTCCTCCCCCATCTCCTCCCCCTCCTCCGTACCCCCCAGAAGGCCAACAAGCACCTTTGTAATCGTGAACACCGGGCGGCGGTGCAGCGCCAGCCCGAGGGGCCCTCCGGGGCCAGCAGCCCTAACCCCCCATCCCCCCCGCAGCCCCGTATCTCTTCTTTTCGCAACCGCAAGACAATGGTTGTCCATTGTTGGCTACAGCTGCTGCCGGCGGGCCCCACCAAGCCCCTCCCAAAGAGCCCCTCCCGACACCACGCCGAGCGCCAAGCTCCGCATCTCTAGCTCCAAAACTGCCTTTTGTACGGCATCATTGTCGTAACCGTTCAGCTTTAGCCGGGCCTGCAATAACTCTTCGGAAAGCACCCCAGCCGGCAGCGCAGGTGCCCCTGGATGGGGGGGGGGAGCCGGGAGGGAGGAGGGTTATATTGGAAGCGGTGGATGTGGGGTGGGGGGGAAAGACAAACCACAGACGAGTGGATGGGGGCGGAAAGGATACGGGGGAACATAGGTCGCGGGAGATGGGGAGACAGAAGGAAGGTAATTGTGCTGGTGCTGGTGCTGGTAGTGATGGTGGTGCTAGTGGTGGTGGTGGTGGCGGACCAGCGGTGGCGGCTGCAAGGGGGGGCGAGATGATGTTGTTGGAATAAATTGTGGAACCACAACAGCGCAGATCTTGGCCACTGCCCAACGGCACAGAACCGGCCCCCTGTTGCTGCTGCTCTGGCAGCATTGGCTGTTGCCCGCCCTTAGCCTTCCAAACATTTTTACAACATTAGATCCACCATCAACCAACCAAATAGGACTCACGTCGGACTTCTTCAACTTCTGAGCTGGTTAGGTTTCGGTTGCGTGTGCGTGGATCCCCACGCGTCAAGCTCACAGGCATCCATCCAAACCCCAGTATGTCAGCCTGCTGGGCTGCCTAACTCCAAATCCGCCAGATCACCCCAGCCAATACTTCCCAGACTTACCGGGTGTGCCGAGTACCCGTGCCAAGGTGAGGGTGTATTGGGAGGCGGGGAGTGCGGACTGGAAAGAACCGGGGGGCCAGGGGCAGGGGGTGGGGGAGAGAAGGGACAAGGAACTGTGTGTTTGGATAGACGTGTGTGTGTGTGATATATCAGATGCGTGGTATGCGGGCAGTGTGAGGGGGGACGGCTTCGACTGTTGAGGACTGAGGAGGGGTATTATGATGTCCTACGGTCTGCCGTACGCACATGCTTTGTCGATGCTACAGTCGTATGACGCGACATGGCAGATGTGTGCTTGCGAGGGGTAGTGCGTGCAAGCGGGGTCGCAAGTGTCGCCGTTTCATCAGGACAAGGGATTAAGCCAAGCACGACTTATAATACCAAAACAAATTATTAGAAAATGTTTTCTCCCGGAAGCGGGATAATATCAGCTTTTTAAACTCGATAAATATTACAAAATTGAACAAATGTTTGAATTTAAACATTTGAATTTAAATTTAAGAGGAAACACCGAAAGGACAAAGTGGATTCGTGATGTCGCTGCCGCGCGCCGCCTGTTACCACCTGCTACCAAATACATGTCAAAACATATCGCTGGATATGTGTGGGTCGGCAATCGAGATGCAGTAACTTGCTAGTGCGGCGGCAATAGTACGGCGGCAACAGTACAACACGCTATGCACCATGCGATATACCGACAGACATACCTGCAGCGCCGCTCGTCGCTTGGGGGTCATCTCGCCGACGGCACGGTATATACCCGCCAGGTTGCCGTACGACGCAAGTAGGCTAACCGCCGTCTTGGGCCCTATGCCGTTGACCCCCTGTGAGGCCACAACACACACACACACACACACACGCACACACATAGGCACACGCTTGCGTACGAGAACTTTTTGCGTTGTATATATTATGACTGGTACCTAACTTGTGCGTCTCCCAGGGGCCTCTAGGGGGCACCCTCCCTCCGGGCTCGTGTGTGGGTGTACTCCTTACACACCTCATCTATCCGGGTAACGCAACCGAGATGGGGTTAAAACACATAGACATACATACACAGAGACACACACGCAAAAGCACATACGCAAAAGCACATACGCCCCTTAAAAATAAAAGACCGTAGGACGGAGAAATGTCGACGAAATTCCAAATTCAAGGCAAGCAAGTTGGACAACCACTTAGGAAAATAGGTGCGACAGATGAGCAAATGGACATGTGAGCAGATGACCAGGTGTCGCTTGGCATGGACGACAACATGATATGAGTCACTCCCGTGTACAACGTAACGTCGTACATGCCGTACAGCTGCTGTAATCAATCTTACCTACCGGCAGGCAGTCAGAGGCGTCGCCTACGAGGGCCTTATAATCCGCCACAAGGGCTGGAGGCACGCCCAGCGCCGAAACCACATCAGCTTCCCGAAGCTCCAAAAAGGGGAAATCGGCGCTGGTGCCGCCCCGGAGGCGGCCCGCCGCGGCCGCCGGCAATGACGTCATCGGGTACAGCAGCGCCACGTCACGTGGGTCACTCACCAGCTGCATGAGGTCTCTGTCGCCGCTGAGGATTCGTACAGCCATGCCGTGTTGTACGGCTTGCTCGACGAGCAGCCCCGCCAAGTCGTCGGCCTGGATGGATCGAAAAACACCAAAACAGAAAGCTTAAGTTCGCACAAACCGAAACTATACCGCTTAACAATACTTTGCAAACTGGTGTATCGTACTCCACATAACGCCCGAACTTTTCCCCCCTCCCTTTCCCCCCCCCTGTCCCCCCCCCCCACTTTCCTCGCGCCAAAACACAAACACAGGATTCTAAAACGCTGTCTGTTGGAACAAAACACCCCCGCCGACCGCACCTCCAGCCAGGGCCTCAGCAAGGGCGGCACCGACATAAGGCCCAAGAGCCGCTGCAGCAGGGGGGGGGTGGGGAGTCGGGTGTGTGTGTGTCGTTAGGGGCCCAGGTGTTGCCGGAAGCCAGCTGGTTGCCGTACGCATAACCAACAGCTCGAGGCCAAGCAGGTAAGGATGAGCCGCAGCAGCATGGGCTGGGGCCGGGGCCGGGGGTTGGGGTTTGGGGTTTGGGGAGAAGTGGGGGAAGACGAACCACAAGCGAGTGAAGCTGCTGCCAGGGCAAGATTGTACCAGACGTAGAACTGACCAAAAGGCGTCCTTGAAGACGGTGACCTCGGGATGACGTAGTGAAGATGATGTCGGAAAAACTACCTACCTAAGCCGCCAGGACTAAAAAAGAGAAAGCTGCAATGCCAAGCCGTAAAAAAGTAGGTGTAGAAAAGTAGGTGTAGAGGCGGCGGAGAAGTAGTAAAGCACTGCTGTCGTAAAGCTGGAATAAAGTTTGCTGCTGGCTTGGAGAACTAGCTGATTTGCTGGTAATGAAAAGCTGTCGGTATGCAAGTGCTCCTCCCAAACCCCCAAAAAACGCGCGACCGACCCGACCGACCCGACTATGCTAGTCCGGCTAGCCGACCGACGCCAACGCGATATACCGAAAAAGGGGGAGAAGTGGGGGACTGGGGGGGGCGGGGGTGCGCGGGTGGAGCATGTGAAGAGGTCTACGGGGTTGCTGTCACGGCACACAGGCGCATGAGTGTGCGTGTCTGTGTGTCATGGAGTAAAGAGTTTGTGCAGACAGACAGACAGACAGACAGATGAGACAGACAGATGAGACAGACAGACAGATGAGAGAGACAGACAGATGAGACAGACAGACAGATAGACAGACAGATGAGACAGAGATATACATGTATCGAGCTGTACGGGAGAGAGGGCGGGGCAGCAGTGGGGCATGTGGCGGCGAACTGCCTCCCCACTCCCCCACTCGCCTTCCCCAATCCATATCCGCAGTGGGGGATATAGGGTTTTAGGGTTTTAGGGTTTTAGGAAAGGGCAGTGGAAAGGAGGAGACGGTGACGCCTATCTATGGAGCGACAGGAAGGCCAGGATGGTACGACAGTACGGCAGTTTTGTGCAGCGTCTTGGCGCCCAAGAATCTATCCTGCCGGTAAGCCCCATGCAACCCACCCAACCCCCAACCGATAACGAAGCAGTTAGAATGTACAGCATCGGGTGTTGTACTACACCTGTAAATTACTAAGATCGGCGTAAAACACTTCGCCCTTCGATGTCCGGCCCGCTTTGTACGACGGCGCCAGTGCGGCGGCTGCGGCTGCGGCGGTGTCGAATGCCGTCGCCAAACCCGTCGCCTCCGCCAGCTCAGGCCCCAGTGACGCCAACAACACCTCCAACATCTCCTCTGCCGTACCCTGCCGTACACCCTCGCCCCTAGCCAGCCACGTCAGCTGTGACAGCAGCTGCCCTTCGGCGGTGCCGGATGCAGCCAGTCCGGATGATGGCGGCGACGGCGGCGCTGCCGCCGCTGACGGCGGCAGGAAAGAGCCGCTGTGGTGCAGGTACGACACTGGCGTGGCAGCGGCCTCCGCTGCCGCCGCGGCGTGCATGTCCGCCAGCACCGGCTCCAGGTGCAGAAGCCGGGAAGCAAGCTCCTGTGTGAGGTTGCACATTTCCGGGCGCGAACAGATTGCGGGTGGTTTTAACTTAGGGTTTGGGCCAACCGACCCAACCGTTCCAACCAACCCAACCGACTTTGCATCTCTCAACCGAGAGAGAGGTGATAACGAACACCAAACCCTGAGCGTGAGAGGGGCAGTAAGATCACTGACAGCAGCAGCTGATATAATCAACCAGGAAAACGTTTGCTTAAAGTTTTCCGATTCAAGGCAGTAGTGGAGGGGGGAAAGAAAGAGAGTGGCCGCTTTGAGGCGTGTTGCAGGTGAGAAGAAAGGAGAGAACCCTTGCGATGCTTCGTCTTCAGAATTGCGTTTCCGTACCTGCCAGTCAAGCTTGCCTTGCCGTACAAGCTCGCCCGCAGCCGCCGCCGCCGCTGACGCCGGCCTTGCCGCTGACGTCGCCGCCGCCGCCGCCGCTAGTCCGCGAGGGTCAAGTAATGAAATTACAGACCTGAACGTGGGCCCCCTCGCATCGAACACCACCGCTAGATATGTAGGCTGGATGCTCCGCAGGGCAGCTTGCAGAACCTGTCCACGAGGGTAATAATAATGAGGCAACGAAGGGCGGAGCGACTCACCAAGATTGAGGCCGTTGCGGGCTTCGGGGGGAGATTCCTTGAGAGAGCGCCAAAAAATGGATTTTTTTGCCGAATTTTTCGTCGCTGCTGTGGAGAAAACGTAGGGGGGTTTACCCATCCCATTTTTTAATAAATACAATTCTCTAGCTTTGGCAGGTCTTGTGGAATAAAGGCAAGGTCAAAAAAATTCGAACCAAGAAATGTCAAGACAACTCCGAGGTCTTTGAGGGATTCGTGCAAAGGGGATGTCGTACAAAACATTATAATGAAATAATACAGGTCGCTTGTTTTACAAGGGTCTTCTGCAAGAGTGTTAAGGAATATCGCGTTGAAGAATCATAGCAACAAACTTTAGAAACCAGACTGCAATCTATGGATCTATGAGTACGACAATGTCGTACTATCGTACCCGCATGACGCCGTACGTAACGGTTGTTGGTATGCCGCTGGACGTCGACAAACCGCGGCCACTGCCGTACCCAAAGAACGAACGATTCGCGAGGTAGTTCCCGTCGATGATGAGCAGGAGGTCAGAGGTGCCGACTGTACGGCGGGATGTACGGCCATCGGTTACCACGGCGGGTGCTGAAGAAGGTAACTGCGGTATTGGTCTTCCGGTCATTGTTTCCCCCGTGGGGGAGGGGGAAGGGAAATCCTGCAGGCATACACCGATAGAAGCCCCTGCTGGCGATGGCGCAGTTACTGCTGGAGCAGCAGCAGCAGCAGCAGCAGGAGCAGCAGCAGCAGCAGCAGCAGCAGGAGCAGCAGCAGCAGCAGCTCCAATAGAAGCCTTGGAACGCCTCGTCCGTGGCTTTGGAGGAAAAGGATGTGCTGTTGATGCGGCAAGTTGGTTGGTCGTAAAGTCATTTATCAGAGGGGTATCCGCAGCTGCAAGCGGCGGCGTCAAGGCTTCGGCTTGACTGGGCTGCAGCTGGGGCTCTGGATCCGGAATTTGTAATTTGGATCGGGATTTTGGCGTTGTAAGGGGTTTCACTGGCGTTGGGGTTTTAGTAGCCTTGCCGCGCGTGCGGGGTGCGCGAGCGCGGCTACTAGCTGTCGATGGCGAAATGTCATCGTAAGCTGCACCGCTCACGGTTTGTGTTCCTTGCTGTGGCGATGTATTACACGGTTCATTTAGTGTGCAGAAATGCTTTATTCGAATGCCACGGTGGCCCTGTGTAGCAATCGCGTCGATGTCGAAGGCAGTCAGGGGGCCGCGATAAGCTGTTGGGCCCACGCGAAGCGACCACTGCATAAGGCTGTTAGAGATCATGTGTCCAGCAGTGCGTATCCATGCCGTGGACTGCATAGGAACAGGTTTCATGGAAGATTATCTTAGCTTGCGCCGTCAAGCCTTTACCGGAAAGCCGACATCTGTGACGTGAGTGCCAAGTTATGCTTGTGAAACATTTTCAAATCAGACTTGGCCCCAAAAGCCTTTTGATGATCAGGGGCAGGTCTCGGATATCTGTTTCGTCACCGGTACGAGGGTAGGGAATGGAGTGTGATATGTGAAGTCAGGCGCGGCCTTTCTGTATCAATTCTGCATCACCAAATATTACGGCTTGAATTACGTTAAGTTCTGTTTTCCTGATTGTGTTAGGCTTCACTTCCTACTAAAAACTGCGGACGTGGTTCTGTCTCCGCAAGCAAGCAAGCTTAATGTTTGTGTCCTAACAACACTCATTTGCATACGAACACTCCGCAAAAGCCACGGCGTGCATCTGCGTTCAGCGCCAATGAGCACCTCGTCGTGGCTCCGATTTTCGCATACGTACCTATGCCATGCTTGCACTCCCCCACAGAACAGCCACGCCACGCTCCGGGCCTCAGCAAGCGCTGCCGCTTCATGGCTGGCTCCCTCACAGGTTCCGATGAGCCTCGCATCAGTTCATCCTGGAACAACTGCCCCAAGGCGCCTAGCTGCAAACTCCGAAGGCCATGGAAATCCTCCTCCTATCACCAGTCGTGCGACTGAGGATGCCATTCCAAGTGCCTCACAGCCTGCCCGGGTGTCCACCCATCGGGTCGTCGCCATCGGCGGCGGCAACGCCGGCGTTCATGGCCTTACAGCAGCAGCAGCAGCATCTGCTGACTGCACAACCAAACCAACCCTATCTGACCGTCGGCAGACCTCCAATAATACAAGTGGCAGCGGTGACGACGGTCGCAGCAACGGCCACGGCAAAGCGCCCGCCAGCATAAAACCGAAGCCAAAACCAAAGCCAGCGCCGCTGCCACCACCTCTAGAGCCGCTGCCCGACCACAGCGGCGGCGGCTATACTCTGGTGTCCACCCTGGAGCAATTGGAGCTGATGCTAGATCAACTGGCGACGGCGGCGGGGGCCCCGGCGGCAGCGGTGACGGCAGGGCATGGCGGCAGCGGCAGAAGTAGCGGCGGCAACGGTAGCAGCAGCGACTTCATGCTTGGTGGAGGCCGTGGCGGTGGCGGCGGTGGTGGTGGTGGTGGCATAGGGCCCCTGGCTATTGATTGCGAAGGAGTGAATCTTGGAAGACCCGGGGGCAAGCTCTGTTTGATGCAGGCAGGTAAAGGGGGAAAGGGGAGGGGAAAGGGGAGGGGAAAGGGGAGGGGAGGGGAAAGGGGAGGGGGGAGGGGACGGGAGAGCAAATGGTTGATGCTGACTGACTTCGCTTGTTGGGTAGTGGGTAGGGAGGAGACGACTTTTTAACCATCTGAACGAGTGAGTGGAGCTGATGCCAAGGAGGATAGACTTAGGATACACACAACAGAAGTGTGTAACTAACCAGTCGCAACTTATGAAGAAGGAGTCTTGGGTGGGGAAGGGGAGGGGAGATGGGACGGGTTTGTTCTTTTGTGCCGCCAATACTCGTCCCTGCACCCCCAGCGCCCCCAGCGGCCGCGGGTCGGATCTACACACTCATATTGAAACCTTCCCCACTCACCCTCACGTATGTACGTACATACATACGTACATGCATACATCCCGTGCCCTAGCTGTCAGCCCGTTGCGGCAGAAGCCCCGGCACCGGCGGACGCAGCAGCACTGGCGGCGGCGGTAGTGGCGGCGGCGGCGGCGTGAGCATCTGGTTGGTGGATGTTGCGGCTCTGGGTGGGCGAGCCTTTCAGCACCGCTCCGGGCTCGATGGGGTGACCAGCCTCAAGAGGTTATTGGAAGACCCGGTGAGTGGGTGAGTGGGTGGGTGGGTGGGCGCATGCGAATTGCGAAGGGGGGAAGGGGGAAAGGCTGGGGGGGGGGGAAAAGCGAAGGGGGGGAGGGGGAGGAGGAGGTGGGTGACGTGTGGGCAACTGCACAGCTCTACACCGCACTGTACTGCACTGCACTGATGGGTCGGTGGGTCAGCGGTGCTTCGTGGGGGTTTCGTTGGGGTCGTCCGTGGTGCTGGAGAGGTATTCAGTAATAATTGGTTTTGTGGGACTTGGGTGACCAGCGGCTAGTAGATGGGTCGGTTGCGGATCGGTTGCGGATCGGTTGCGGATCGGTTGCGGGTGGGTGCGCTTCACATTTGCAGGGCTGGGTCACAGTATTGGGTCGGCTGTGGGTCGGTGGGTCACATAGGGAATGGGTTGAGCAAGGCAATGGAAGTCTGCTTTGACGAGAGCATGTGGTGCGGCACATGTCGTACATCACCACAAATCCGAATTCGGATTCACATTTCTTGGAACTGTCTATCTGTACGGCAGGTTGTGATCAAGTACCTGTACGACGTACGTCGTGACGCCGAGGCACTAAGCTCTGAGTACGGTGTACGGCTGCGCGGCGTGGTGGATCTGCAGCTGGCCGACGTGGCTGTACGGCAGGCCGAGGGCGGTTTGCGGGCTGGCGGTTGGGTGGAGGGGCTGGTTTCGGCGCTATCCCGGGGCCTGGCGGCACGTGGTCGTGCCTCGGCGCCCCCCGGGATGGCGGCTGACTTGGCGGCTGCGACAGCCACCTCCCGGCGCTACCATGAAGGCAACAACACGCAGGTTTGGATCTGGATTTTGAATTTTGGATTGGATCTGGATCTGGATCTAATTCGGGATCTTGTCTTGGGTTACCGTGGAATCTCAATGAGTACCTTTAAAACGCGTGATTTGGAGATATGGGTTTTACCAGTTCCGTACACATCGATTGCGTCCTTTCAACATCACATCATGCATGTACACACACACGAATTTACTGAGTGCAGAAATGTGTTTTTATAAATCGCCAAATCGTACACGCATGCACGCACGCAATGCAATGTAAGTGTGCAGTACAATTAAATGTACATACACAACCCGTCACACCCCTCTTCCCCGTTCGGGGGCGGGAGAGAGCTTAGTCAGGCAGTCTTTCCGTTGGGGCTGGGCAGCCGCCCCTCTGTGGCCAGTGTCGTCAGGCCCCGTCAAATAGATACTTGTAACCTATATATATGTATATATATATACATATATATATATATATATATACACACGCACGCACAATAACCATGACGATTCGCCCGACTGCGGGGGCCCGCTGTCGAGGAGCCGTTATTCGGCCAGTGATCGACCTGTATGCCCACATGCATGTCTGCGTCCCGCACCTCCCTACATGCTGTACACATGCCGTACATGCCGTACACGCACTTCGCCGTACATGTCGTCATCACGTCGTTTGGAGAGAAGGTTTGGTCCGTACGTCCCCTCACTCGGGAGCTCTGTGAGTACGCCGCCGTAGATGTACGATATCTGCACCTGCTGGCGGAGGCACTCAGTCCGAGGATGAACCGGGAGCTGGCGGACAAGGTGAGCGAGTGTGTACGGCATGTACGGTGTACGATAAAATGTGCGGCATTTAGATGTATGTATGTATACGGCGTGGTAAGGTGCCAACCGGAGGCTTCGGATGTATCTCCTAAATGTACGGCATTCTTCTCCATTCGTAAGTCGTACAACACATGCCATGTATACGGACTACCACGCAGGTCCTCCGAGAAAGCGCCCGCCGTACGACTGCAACCTTGATGTCGAACAACAAGGACTTGCGCGCAGCGGCGCCCGTCATGATTGTACGATATCAATCGTCACCGTCATCCACGTCATCTGGATCTACGAGCTCTGCAGGCGGCCGCGTCTCAAACACGTCGCGGCCGGTACCCGCTAGCGGTGGCGGCGGCGGTGGCAGCCGTTACGTGTCGCCGCGCATGGGCCTTATGGAGTGGCTGACAGCGGCGCTGTTGCTGCGGTACGACAGGCACGGTCTGACGGTTTCGGAGCCACTTTCGCTGCGGCCAGCAGCGCAGGTGGCAGTGGCGGCGGTTGCGGCGGCGGAGGCGGAAGCGAAAGCGGATTCGCCAGCGGCCGTACCGTCAACACTTCCACCGCCTCAGCGGCAGCTGTTGGCGGCGACGGAGGTACCACGTCTTCATCCTGTTGCTTCAATCTTCCTTGACGGCGGCGCCGACGACCCACAAACGCCAACTCCGCCAGGAGCAGTAGCGGCGGTAGCAGCAGCAGCAGTGACGTCAACACCATCAAGCCCACCACCACTACTACCAGTCACCTCACAGCAACAGCAAACGACCTCGGCGTCGTCGTCAGCGGCGGCCGTGAACCCAACAGAATCGGCAGTAGCAGTAGCTGCGCCAGCAGCAGCCGCCACATCAGCTACACCCGCCCCAAGGGGATTCCCACCAATGGAAACGGAACTGGCGGCTGACCATGCAGCAGTAGCATCAGCACCACCAGCAACAGGTGTATTAGTTTCATCGTTGGCGGGCACTATCGACAGTCAATTACAGCCGGCGGCGGCGGCGCTGGCGGCGCCGGCACCGGCGGTGACGGCACCGGCGGCTGCACGATCCTCACTTACCGACATTGTTGTGGACGGCTCGGTGATGGACCAGCAGCAAGCATCCCTGTCCTTCCCGACCTTCCCCGGGGGTGGAGCAGCGGCAGTAGCACCGTCTGGGGCTGTTGTAGCTATGGAGCCAGCGGCGGTGGCGGCGGCGGCGGCAGCGGCAGCATGTTCCGATAGGCACCCGGTGATGGGTCGCCCGGCCACGGCGGCTGTGCGGCCAGGTGACGGCGTGAATTCCCTAAGACATGGTGAAGGTGTGCCTACTGGTGCTGCTGCTGCTGCTGCTGGTGTGGCTACTGCTACTGCTACTACTTCTGCTGGTGTTGCTGGTGCCTTTGCTAGCGGAGCGGATGTGTCGGCGCCGCCATCACGGCGGCTGCCCCCGATACCGAGCGAACTGTTCGTCCCTTCCCTGGAGACATTGATGTGGGCCGAGCAGGCTCTGTCTCCGCTGTGGCTGGATCTCCGTACAAAGTACGAATGCGTGGATGCCGACGAGGAGCAGAAGCTAGCGCGCCTAGCGGCTGTGTGGCTGCTGCTGAGCCAGCAGGGCCTTGTGAAGCAGGCCACAGGGCCGGGAGCCCTAGGACGGCGAGATCCCGGATTGTGCTGGCTGCTGCGTTGAGAGATTTTCGGAATTTAGACTTGTCGGGAAAGAAAATATTTTTTTTAAAAGTGGCATCGCAATCCGACTATTGGTCCACACATGACACCGCACATGCGTAACTAGTGAAGAAAGCACTCGGATGTGCTGGAAAGTAAATGGAAAGTAAATGCCAAAATATAAATGCCTAGATTAAAGGTCTACCGGCGGTCTGGAAGGGGCGAAGGGTGAGATGGATTGTCGGTATGGTTGGATGGGATTCGCAAGGGGGAAGGAGGGCAGGGCGTGGAGGAGACTATATGTGCTGGCTGTACGGAACTGTACGGAACTGAATTGCTGAGCGTTTCGTCTCTCTAAAATCTCCACTCCGCCCCGCGTAAAACGACATCATATGGCCGTGCTGTATCTTCCCTCGCGAGGTCCTCGCACCTGGAAGTGGCACCCAGTTGCGCTGAACAGGTGGTGGGAATGGAATGTTGTGTTGAGGTGATAAATGTAGATACACGGAGAGAATGTTGTGGTTTTCCGAATCAGCTCGGTGTTGTACGGTAACGGGCAAGTGGGTTGGGGAGGAGGAGTGCTATGAAAGGTGGTTCAGTTGTGTTGCGGATAGGAGCTCGTTCGTTTGTTCGCTCGTCAGCTTTTGATGGCATCCGGACTTTGGGCGCTGCTAGCTGTGCTAGGTGTATGAACTGGTGGCTAGTAAAAATTGCCGCCAAACATTAACAATTCGTTAACCTTAACATAACAAAGATTTACGACATCAGGAGCCGACCCAGATAGTTTGTCACACAAGTAAAATATGTAATTCTCGACGAAAGCCGCCCACACGCATCAGTGCTGGGGGTTGCGCCTTGCGCAGGACATGCGGTTAACCCAGATCACATAGATCGCGTTAGCTAATCTACGCTGATATTCCGCTTGCATGATGTGCAGCATGCTCGCGCTCAGTGGAACCCCCAACGTCACCAAATCCCAGATGGCCTGCCTAATGTTGGCCAATGCGGGGCACTCCAGCACGACGTGCTTTTCGTTTTCCACCGTGCTTTTGTTGTTGCATGTGGCACACCCTCTGTGATCCATGGCGAGCTGGCATGGTTGACCCGTCGTAGTTGGCGGTTGGTTTCGGATCTTTGCCGGATTTCGTGGTCGTTTCCAGGAATGCGGATATGGGCGCGAAAACTTCGTTCCATTTGTGAATAGATGTTTGACCTTCGTTTGCGTCGGTGCGTTGTGGGTGATGCTCTGGTAACGAGTTCGGAGCGACAGTTTGAACTAACCGCCTGTTAACTCCTTGAAAACTGCAGAAGGTCCCGTTAGGATGCGCCTGCTGTTTAAAGTAGTTAACTGTTTGCAGCGTAAGGCGGTAAATTAGGCAGCTGCGCGTAAACATAGTAGTGTTTTAAGGCCGTTGGCAGGCCTTATGGACGCTGTTCCCGACGTGCGAAGCTTTTGCAAGATCGTAATTACATTGTAATAGGACCTGCTTCGTGAGGCTCAAATTACCTCATCATACACCTGATCCCACCCATACCGCTCATTACAGTCGTGTGGACTAGCGCGTCAAAAATGCGGGCACTTCTGCGACCTTCGCTGCGTACTGGCCGTCAAGCGTTTAGCTCTAACCGTCAGGCTACCACAGTTCGCCCATTAGTTCGGACTCAGGTCAGGCTGCCATCGCATTTCTGCCGGTGACGAGTAGAACTTACCCTAGTGAACATGTATTGACGCTGATTAAATATTTGATGAAAATTTAACACATGTTATGCAACTAGCTAGCCCATCAGCTGAGCGCAGCAACTAAACCGGAGGTGCCATCACGCAGGCGTACGTGGAGGCGTCAACCAGCTATGCGGTGCTGCAGCAAGCAATCGCTTACGGTGCGACATGTGACAACTCACAATATGAAGCATTATCCTGGCGCTTGTCTGAATTCGGCCTCTTGACCCCCAAACTCCCCCAAATGCCTTGCGCCAACAGCTGTCGTTCTTGGTGCTGAGGGAGTTTATACGAGGTGGGTGGTCCCGTGCCCGTGACCAGGCCAGGAGATGTCCGTGTTGATAATCCTCTTCATTAATTTCATTATTTACCACCTTTCACTCCGTCCCTCTCATCTCATCTCCTCGCGTGTGGCATATGGAGCACAGGACGCAGCTACCTGAAGGCGCTCCCGGCAGGTGGGGTGAGGTGAAGAAACGCAGGAGGGGGTGGGGATGGGGGGAAGAAGGACAGTGGGTCCCATTCGTCCGGATGGGCGCTATGTCCGAGGTGGGTGAGGGGGTGGGTGGTCCTGACCTTGGTCAGGCCAATTGGTGTATCGTGTGTTGGGATTGATACTATACTGTGGAGGGACTGGGGCTGTGCGAAGAGCCCCTCTTGTGGGTTGGAGGGGTGGGTTTCCCCTCCCCCCCGCCACGGACGCCTTTCGGTCAGTCCTTTCGGTTGCTACTATCTTGCCCTGGCAGCAGCTTCAATCGCGTGTGGTTCGTCTTTCCCCCCCGCCACGCCTTTCCTTTCTTCCCCTTTCCTTCCACACTCTGTTTTGCCACTGACCCCGTGGGATGGTGCGGTACAAACCCCCTCCCCCATACACACACGGCCATACACGCCCATAGGCCTGAGGTTGTGCCGGTGGCTGGCGGTGTGGCAACGACATTGCTGGTAAGCTGTCATTCGGCGGGCGGGTGGGGAGGGGAGGAAGGTGGGGGAGGGCACCTTGCCGTGTGTGTGGGGGGGGGATTGGGTTTGAGTTGGGTACCATCAGAGCTAGGAGGTCAGGGCTAAGAGGGTTATAAAGCCTGACGGAGGTGAGATATGTTTGTTTTACACCAGCGGGAAAGTTCATTTTTTTACTCTCGTCCTTTATGCCTGGTACCTTTCGCATGGTAGTCGTACCACCGTTAACTAGCTCCGCAATTATAACATCTCACAACATGACGACTATAACCATCAGCATATGGTCACTCAAATTTCATCAACTTTTTCGGGCTGCTGTCGCCAAAATGCCGCCAAAATTCGCACTTTTATCTTCTGGAATCTGCTACAATCATAAGGGCTGATTCCTCCTGACCCCTTCACACTTCTCCATGGTCTTTGGTATGTTTTCTTTCGACAATCGACTGCGCTTCGTCGTACCCCTCTTCACACCTCCCTCTCTCGGCACCTCCCTCTCCCTCTCCCTCCCCCGGTCGGCACCTCCGAAAAGGCTTCCGGACTCGTGGCCGCCAACAACGACCTGCTCTTCACCCCCGCCTTCATCGTGGGGCTCGTGTCCTCCGGAGCCATGTTGTCGTACGCAGTGAAACGGACCATCGACACGAGTGAGTGAGCGGCTGAGAATGCTCAAACGGTCATTGATTTTGACGGTTGACGAGTCGGTTGGTGGTTAGGGAATCGCGGGGCTTTGTATATCAGATGAGAAAATGGAGATTTTTCCTGGACATTTTCCTGGACCGACCACTGTCGGGAAGAATGTGGCAGATGGGATGGCGGCTTTTTGAAAATGTGTCCCCGGCTCCCCGTAGTCCCCCCTAATCTCCGGCACTCGGGGATGACCCAGCAAAACCGGAAAGCCACCTTAAAACGCTGGAACCTCTAGGGGTCTCTGACCCCCCCCCCCAATCTGTTTTAACTCCGTCATGTCGTCGCCTCAGTCCGTTTGATGTTTTCCATCTAGCCGCTTACCTGCTGCTTTCCTGCTGCTCCAGACCCCCTCCCGCCTTTTCCCTCCTTTTTAAAAACTTTAAAAAAACTCCAAAACCGTTTAAACCTCCCCTCCCTGGCACGGACCTCCCCTCCCTGGCACGGACCTCCCCTCCCTGGCACGGACCTCCCCTCCCTGGCACGGACCTCCCCTCCCTGGCACGGACCTCCACAGAGCAAGATGACACCGACTGGCCGGGGCCCAAGGTTTGGCCCGCGACTATGGCCCTCATCAGCTTCTTCGCACTCAACGTCTTCATCCAGGCCATCAGGGTGAGGCGGGGGGAGGGGGGAGGACACACGAACACACATTGGTCCAACCACCACTCGATTCAATCGCAATTACAAATGGGGTCTAATGAGGGGTGTTGATGTGGTCTGCGGTGTCGCGAGAGAGGACGTGGTACGGCGCAAATTTCCGTATGCCGTACCTGCACATGTGTTCCATTTCTGCGTGTTGTTGTCACACCTACGGTTTAACGATCTACTACATCATCACCGGACCATATGCCCCATGGCGCTGATATAGCAAGTATAGCATATTTACGCACACATTAGAGTCAGCTAAGACGGCTCGGATGCTTCTAATATCAGATATCAACGGCTGACTTTTGGAACCTTTATAACACGTGCTTCTTCCTCCCTTCTCCCCTTGCATTGTACGGCACCTCCGTACGGTTTGGCCGTACTTAGGCGGAGCTGTGAATTATGAGGATCATTCCAAGAGGATGAAGGCCCAGGATGAGGAGGGATTCGGGAAATTGTGAGACCGACGACACATGATCTGCTCGGCGTGGGCTGTGTGTATCGGTATGGGCCGGGTCGGGTTTTGTATGAATCAGTATGAATATGGATTTTATAGGTGGGCATGGATGATGATGTTGTCAATGGGGAGGAGTGTGGTGAGGAGGTCAACTTGGGGATTAGTATTTGTAAGGTTTGGCTCTGATCTCTTCTTCCTGCAATCGCTCTCGCACTTTCCCTTCCACACGATATTAGATATCAAGGAATAATCATCGCCACAAGGGCGGCATGGCGACCAAGGCTGGAAGCCGAAGATACTTGCCGACATACATACTGACACATCGGCACAGACGCAGGACGGGAAACCATGGTGGTATCTTGGCAAAGTGTGTTTGCAGAACCATCACCACCACCACGTGTACATTCATGATGCCGGTGGTGATGGTGGAGGTCAGGAGGTCTAAATCTAAACTGCCTGGGTACATACAGACTTACAGCGGCCAGCTGGAATACATCCGGAGCCAAATGCGACGAATCTCATCCAACTGTTTTGGCTACGAGGCCGGCTCTGGAGGAAACATCGAGCTGGTTGAACCGCTGATTGCTGAAGTGGGAAGATTCTTCCAGCCCGGACCTTTCTTTTCCATTTTGGGCGTTTCCCTTGCGTTTCCTGGTAGAGACGAAATTTGAATCCTTGATATCAATTTTTTGGGGAGATGGAACAGATACAATCGATATCAAGGTTTACTTCGGTTAGAGCACAGAGCTCGCTCGCCAACTAACAAGCCTGTTACCTCTTCGTAATCGTCCTTTCGAAACCTACACCGCCTCAAGTACCCCCCATGTCTGGTGCAGACGACAGCTACACTAACAAGACCACAGAACAGCAGGATCAGCAGCAGCACTGCAAGGGGTGCAGGAGGGGAGGATGGCGCCATTACGCGGATAAACCTTACATGATAACGCCGCCGGTGCTGGCGCTACCACCAGCATGGCCAGCGTCCTGCCGCCACTCCTCTTATTCGTCCTCCTCCACCGGCCGACAGCTCCACCTTCAAGACCGTCATGAAGAGCGGCCTCGACCTTCACCTTCATCAGCAGGCGGCTGAGCAACATCAGCTACTGCCAAGCTGCACGAGGTCCTGGCTTCTGTGGCCAACCGTGGCCAAGCGAGGGCGACTTACGGTCGATCTCGAGAATACACTCCACAATTCCCCTCACTCCTTAATTCCCCTTCTAGATCGCCCAAGCACCCATAGCCCGCTGCACAAGACCACGCCCCGCCACAACACTTCACTACCGACAGGTCATCATCCCCGGGTAGATAATGAAGAGATCGAAGGAATGGTCAAAGAGGCAAAACCCACATGCGCCGTGGGGTACGTCATACATCATTACCCATAATGCCCCTGTTGTTCGCCCGCTGGTTCACCCCTCTGATTGTACGATGAAGCGCAAGCGCAGTACGACGCGCGCGCATGCTGAATGCTTGATCGCCACGACACCACGCAGATGCGCTGTGCTGCAACGTACGGCACTGCCTTCAGTGACTGCCGCGACAGGCAGGAGCATGTACCCAATCACACACACACTTACACACATCACCAGGCACGTCTCGCCGCCGCCACGGCCTTGTTGACCAGTCATTGCACAACTATATCAGCATCACAAACGCCTGAGGGTCATCAACCACCACACAGCACCCACCACCGGGCACTGCCGTGACAGCCACGAAAGTTAATAAGGATGGTGGTGATTTTTGCGGTGGCAATTTTTTGGTGGTGGACAAGGGAGAACATCTCTCCTGGAGAGTTGAAATGGTCACAGCCTTATACGCACACACACGGAGAGGAAAACAATGCCGCGAACGCGAGCTCTGTTTGGCAACTAGGTAAATGCGACTAAAAGCCAGACATGCACAATTACATGTAGCCGTGTGCCCCCACGGCGGTCCTCGCCAGCCAGCGGATCCACGAAAGGATCCTTCCTCCCCGCCATGCCCCTCGCTCGTCCCGGAGAGCCTTCCCCAACAGTCTACACAGCGGTGTGCCGCTATGATGCCGCTAATACCATCAACCATGAAATCACGCTGAAATGACTAACCCTCGTACGGTTTGAACGGCGCTATGACAGCAGACAAAACGACGAACCAGACCAGAGCGTGGTGGTTTTACAAAGGCCACCAGACAATCACACCACCGTGCGCGTCATCGTACACAGCCGTACAACAACTTTTACGCCTGGCCGGCGGCGGCCGCCACCTCCGCAGCCAGCTGCTTGTCGAACTGGTAGACGCCGAGGCCCTTGCCCACGCGGCGCAACTGACTGACGTACTCGGAGACCTTCTTCACCGCCTCCACCTGCAGGGCGGCGGGGCGGGGGGTGGGAGTGCGGGGTCACCGTGTAGATGTGACGATGGGAGGATGGGTGATTGCGGGGCCGTGTGCATGTGCAGGTTTGCATGCGGCCGCGTGGGTCATAAAGGTGGTGTGTGAAACCATCCCCCCACAACACCCCTGGAGGTCGTTAGGGTCGTTAAAAAGGACATGAGGAGTAACGACCCCAAAACGCCGTTACTAACTTCCCTGTCACCAAGGGAAACGTGGGTACTCCTAAAACCCCCCAAATGACGACCCAGATCAATTAAAAGATCGCCGCAGATGTGATCGTAGAAACGCTTTTATGGCGCAGAATCCACAAAAATAACACTTCATTAAATACCACGTGCACAAAAAAACATCCCGTATGCCGTATGCAATTTGCAGTTCACATCTCCCGTACTGTTGTACCTGCTCCGCCAGTAGGTCGCCCTCCACAAAGTCCGCCATGGACGCGTCTCCTTTCTCATCCGCCACAGAATGCAGCTGTCGGAGCTTTTGAAAATTGAGCTTCTCCAAACTCAGCGCCAACTCCATGGCGTATAGAGCGTCGCCCTGGCGGTTAACAACGGTTATCAGTTGGCAATGACTGTTATTAGTTGTATTACCATGCTGGACATGTATGTGTGTATGTCCGAATTCATGTGCTTATATCGCACAAATCAAATGATGAATTAGTTGAATTTGCAATGTCTGTACCATAGCGCGTGGGCCGTACAGGAGACGCAAGCAAGTGATGAAAAGGCTCAAGCCTGCCGTACCGTGCCGTACCTTATCGCTGGACGAGAGATCTAGGTCGGGCACTGACAGAGGTCCGAGCACGACCCGGCCACCCCGGCTGTTCTGGTATTTCTGCGGGAGGATTGATTTGTACAATCACACGGCATTGGGAATACGGTATCATGAAGCCTGGAAGTAAACCATATCGCCACCTCAATACACCGTGTTCTAGGGGTTCTCCGTCATGTGTGATGTGTGAAACAGGGGGGTATATCTTCGCCCGTGGCAGCTACCCTGCGAAACCCTGCCTTCCCCGGTATTTCGGGGCACCCTTATCCAGTCACCCTAGTCAACTTCTCAGTGGATCGCTCAGGTTCCGCACCCACCACCGGCATCCAACGGAATCTGCCGGGTCGACAGCGGCCCAACTCCATTCCTGGTCGGCTCGCAGGTTAACTTATCCCAGGTCACCACAGTCCATCAACTAGGGGCGCAATACCTTCCACCATCGGAAGGATTTTTGACCCAAATGGGTATCGATCCCGGGATCTCCCGGGAGCAATGGTCGTATGTATGTATGTATGTAAGCACCTGCCACTAATCCATATCGTCCTTATTTGAATCTGAACTATTACGGTGCCCCCGACAAGGCCTTTCTCCTGAAATCCCAACGTTGGACCCACCATCAACAGCTCCGCGTGTTCCCGCTCCTCATCACTGCCAGCCTTGAAGTACGCCGCCAGACCAGGGAGGGCGACATTGTCCCGGTCAAAGTAGGCCCACAGCGCGTGGTACACGTACGACACTGTGTACTCGATGCTGTACGGCACAGTTGGCATGTAAGAATGCGGTGGGTTGAAAGTAGATGTGTATCCGTGCGTATATCATTTCGCAGTGGAGAGAGTATGGGGGCCGGGTGTCTCCCTGGTAAGATTGTCTCTCTAGAGTGGGACTTTGCAACTTTACCTACTGGCTCTAAATCCATTGTGCAAGCCCTTGGAGGGGCATGGACTATGAAGCTTAAGGACTTCATTTTTTCCCATCATAGGTGATATTCTACCTAACAGTTTTCACTTTCTTGGCGTTCCTCGTTTCCCAGGCAGGCCCCCTGAGCAACGTCAGGTTTGTTCCATCGCCGCAGCCAATAATGTACAGCTGTCTTCTTGAGGTTCCTGGTGCCATTCCACCGCGCCTCTTACTTGATCTGCTCGTTAATAGCCGCCTCGCAAGCTGGGTGGAAGTCCACACGAGCAAGGCTAGCCACTGCCGCGTTCGTATTGTCCACGATGGCAAGCTCCGCCTTGGCCTACATAGGCAGCCGTGTTGCAGGCAGTTGTTCCACATGCCTGGCGCAGCCCATCCACCTATGACCATATCCAACTATAAGCATAGAGTTCACGATCACCGCGCGCACGCGACACGACTTTCGGTATTCATGCTGAGCAAGGTTTCCACAGCAGCGCTTGAGGTACGTCATACTAATGATCACAACAGTCATGCGCCTCCCGATCAACTATTCGCAAGTAGCCAAGGTAGATAAGTCGATGACCAGACGGTACCGATAGTACCAGACGTGGCCACTTGTCGAACCATACATTTAACAGTCAACAGCTGAAAAATTCCTCATTTACCTCTTCAAAAGGTTGCTGGAACACCACACCGGTGTAGTTATCAAGGGTCGCAGCGCGAGCAGCCACACGGCGAGCGCCGACAGCCCTGCCAAGGAAAAACCAGAACCGATAAGGGATTACTCCACCGATTGACATTTAAGAAAAGAAGGCCGATTATAATTAAAATCCGTGAGTTACATTTTGCGCATGCCGAGCAGCCCTCTCGTGCCTGGCACACGCCCAACGAACGCCTCACCAAGACGCACCTGAAGGTTGGCAGAATGGAACGCGAAGGCCTAGTAAGAAGCGCGGGAGCGCCAGCGGCGCTCACAACCATGCTCATCATTTCGGTATCGGGATATGCTTCCTTCGAGGAACTGAGCCTCACAGCTACTGAAAGTCACCTGAAGGACACAGCACTTGTTGAGACCTACTGTGTATAACACAATTACCAAAGTGATTCCAAAATGCGTGTGTAAGGTACGGCAACCGGCGGCCGTAAATCCTCCTGACGGGCTACGAAAGGCTAGTAGGTTAAGATTTTTCTATATAACACCCTTTGTCACTGGCATTATGTCAGGTTTTTCCGTTCAGAATTTGGAAGGTTCACCGGTTGGGTGTTGCAATCCGTTCCCTGGAGAGCGGAAAGCTTTGCAGCTCACCCTGGCCGAAGGCGGTTGTTTTTACCAAGCGGAACAACGTAGCAATGACGGTTATGGATACCATCCCAGCGTCAGCTGACGGTGCTGTGACATATCGCACAGTCTCGGAGATTAGCGCAGGATAGAGACTTCTCCTGAGCCTCCAAAAGCCTCGTTTTTCCTCAAAATGCCCTACATGCGGTGTCCTGCATCCTCTCCTGACCGCGTGGATAGCCTTGCTCGCTTGTGTCTTGTACTGGCAAGCATGTGGCAAGAAAGGCCAGGCAGCTGTCAAGTAAATCTGAAATTTCAGCCTACCACCTCATGAAGAAGCGAAGACATGGCGTTGCATGACACGAACAAATGTGAAACATTCTGCGTCTGATCCCCTTCCACGATCCAGTAAATCAAACTGTCCTCCCAGCACCTCCCTGCCTTCCGCAGCTAAGCCTGAGCAGCAAGAACAGCATATGTCTGTTTGCCTTGTACAAGTACAAAAATTGTAACTCCTCCATCTACCAAACTCGCTGCTGATACTTTTTGCTCTGCATCCAGCTTTTTGCATATTAATGATCGCAATCCAAAACTTGACACGATCGCATAGAATTGTCATGTCGCGAGTCTCCTTAAATGGATGCCGAGCTAGCCATGTGCCACATAGCGCAACGCAAAGCTCTGCACAAATACTTAGCCGGGATCGCCGCTCAAACTCTCGCTGAACAGCGCGCGGGCGCGAGGGACTTCACATCTTTCAGCGCGCACGGAAACACGTGCGCCCTCACGCCAAAACTCCACAAAACAATTCAAAACATAACGCACGTGCACAGCTTCGGGACGGAAAGTGCCACTGTAAGTGCTACTACATAACACGCGCGGCGAGCCACCCATATCACCCACCCGGCCCCATCCCCACGACCCCACCAAGCTTACCCATGTCACCAGACGCTGTGAACCACCCCCCTACATTCCTGGACATTCCAACCGACCCAGCCACCACATCACAGTAATCTTCCCCAAGTCCTATTCGCTAAACGTCTTTTAAATCACTTCCGCCCATGTGTAAGACTTTGATCACGTCGTAAAGACGGATCCAAAAGCCGGATCCAAAAGCACCACCGGATCAAGAACGACAAATGCGGATCAGAGAAACAACAAATCCAAGAGTTACCGAATTCAAATGCGTTACCAGATTTACGCGATGCACGAAATATGAGTGTGTGCGGGTGTGCACATCTATGCATGTCAAGTCCAAACACAAATTCCAACTTAGTTACAGCAACCAAGCCCATTGAAGCCGTAACACACAAAACACAAAACACGAAAAGGCATCTCAGCAGCCATCAACACACACACTTACCCCGCTAAAAAGAAGCCGCAGCACAATACACGGGGCATACGCCCTCTTAACCTCGTAAGGGCCCCCCGGGTGGACGACTCCGACTGCCACCGCCACCGCCACCGCCACCGCCGCTGCGCCGCCTGCCCGGCCTCCCCCGCTCGCGTGGCTTACACAACTGACAGAACCAGTCCCCCTCGGGAACCGCCCTCAGACCCACACAGGCCGCATGGGCGCACGTGTCACAGCCCTCGCACAACATCAAATGCCCTGGCTCCCCACACACACCGCACACGTCGTCATCATCATCATCATCATCATCATCATCGTCCTCTCCCTCCTCCCCCTCTTCGCCCTCCTCCTCCTCTTCGCCCTCAGACACCGAGTTCATGCCTTTGTGGCCGTTGCCCTGCTGACCCGTGGGTCGTCGCTGTTGTTGCTGCTGCTGATGACGATAACGATGATGATGATGCCGTCTTGTCAGGTCCAGCCCGCGAGCCATTCTCCGCGCCAAAGGATCTTCCTCTTCCTCTTCCTCTTCGCCCCTCTCGTCCTCGCTCTCCACTTCCCCCCTGCCGCCGGGTCTTCTGCGCTCGACGGTATCCGGCTCGATGCCGTCACCACCACCATCACCACCACTGCTACCACCACCGTCCTCGGGGCCATCCTCGCCGTCCTCCTCGTCATCCTCCTCATCTCCACAGCCGTACTCACTGTCGTACTCGCGGCTGATGTCCGCAGAAGCCCCCGGGGTGTCCACAACCGCCACCGCGCAACGGCGCTGCGCGTGTACATGTGTATGTGTGTATGTATAGGGGAAGTGTGGGGGAGATGGGGAACGTGGGGTGGGGGAGGGGGTGGGGGGGGTTGTTTAAATTTGCGAATACGAAGCAGGGGACCCGGGACCGCGGAATACGTCACCAATGGATGGGTCAGTGGGTCAGTTGCTCGATGGACTGGACAAACCGACAGACAAACAAATAAACAGACAAACAAACAAACAGACAAACAAACAAACAAACAAACAAACAGACAAACAAACAGATAGGCAGGCAGGCAGGCAGAAGGGTGGGGAGGAAAAAGTGGGTAAAGAGGAGGAGGAGGAGAGGACTGTCCTTTCTTTTCTTACCTGCACCTGAGATTGATGGCGGCGGCGCCGCTGCAGGGGCGTGGGGTTAACACCCGCCGCCGCCGCCGTCTCCGCCGCCGCCGCTCTTGCCGACCTCCCTCGCCTCCGCTGCGCAAACACGAGCGCCGCCACATCCCCCGGGCGAATGACGGAGGGTGGCGCCTGCGTGGCGAGGAAGGGGGCTCGGTAGATGGCCATCATAGAGCCGGGGGACCTGCGGGCCGGGTGGGGCGTGTGTGTTTTGGGGGTTGGGCCGTGTGTGTAAAACCTGTGTGTTTTGGCGGTTGGGGCGTGTGCAGGGGTGGGGGACACAATGGGGCCGTAGTCTGAACCCCGCAGCCGGGGTGCTGCGGCAACTGGCGGCGCTGGCGGACCCCCACCCCCCTGGCTCCCCCCTTCACCTTTTCCTCACCTGCCGCCATCCCCCCCATCAGATTGCGATCCGCCGTCGCCGTGATCCCCCGTCCCCCCCAGGCCATCCGTCACAAAGCTGCTCTCGTAGCCGTCCTCATCCTCCCCATCACCATCGCCCTCGTCGTCATCATCACTCCCGGAGAGAGCGGCCTCCACATCGATGAAGCTGCGACCGCCGCCGCCCCCGCCCCCCCGACGTGCCGCCACTCCTTTGGCTGCGGGTATGACGGCCCCTCCCCCTCCCCTTCCCCATTCCCCTTCCCCTCCTGCCGCTCCCGAAGATCTCCTCATCATGAGGCGCGTCCTGTAGGGAAGGCGATCAGGGGGGAGGAACAAAGCTGGATTTCCTGGATTGTGCATTGCAAGATCCAGGAGTTGGGAGTTGACAGTTAGAAAGCCAGATACGTGGCGTGCGGAAGGAACGGGTATTGACGTAAAGACGGGTAGCGAGAGTTAGACGATAGGCGTCTTAAAAAAGGCATTTCAAGATCACTCGTACATCAGGGTACGGCAAGGAGTACGGCACGGTGAGGAGAAAACAAAGGATATGGGTATAAGTATAAGAAGCAATAAATGGACCTGCCACCCACGCCACATACAGACAGCAAGGGTCGCGTTGCACGGCAGGTGGGAGATCTATGGGGGCAGTTGCCGTACTGGAGGTTTGAAGCCTCGACTGGGTGATGGGAAGGGGGGGCCTGGTTACTGATGGAGGGGCCGGGGAAGGAAACCCTAAGATGAGAAGATACCGGATGCCGTACACACGAGGGTATTGGTGATCTGCCGCAAATGAAAGGGGGGCTTGGGGGACGGATTACCTGTTCGCCGCGATATTGGCGGCGGCAGGTACGGCAGCTGCCGCCGCCGCCGCCGCGCCGGCAATCCTGCGGGAGACATGCGGGCGGCCACCACCACCGCCGCCGCCGGCAGCGGCGGCGGCGGCTGCAGCGGCTCCGGCTTGGAGGCGGCGGAGCTTCCGTGGCGGCTTAGGGACCGAGCCCCCCCCTGGCAGGTCCAGCTCTCCAGCGGCGGCGACGGCGGCATCCGCCACTGCCGCCGTGGTTCGCCGTACATCTTCGGCGCCGTCACCATCGTCGTCGCTCGTCGCCGTCAGAGGCCGCCGTACTCTTCGCCGTAGTCCCACCAGTGGCGTGGTGTCACGGCCGCCGCCGCCGCCGGTTGCCGCTGCTACAGCGCCATAGATCGCCGCCGCCGGCGTCCGCGCCAGCTTCTTAAAGAGGCTACCACCGCCGCCGCCGGCACTGCTACAGCCGCCGCCGCTGCTGCTTCCGCCGCTGCCGCCAATTCCACCTCGCCTTCGTACGACGCTTCCTGGCTCCGGAGATGAGTCGTCAAGGATGATTGGAGCGCGGCGCTTGGCGCCGCCGCCAGCAATGCCACCGCCGCCAGCTGTCGTACCAAGGAAACGGCGCGGCGCCGCAGCTCCATCCGTTGAGGTTGTCGACGGCGGACACTCCGACGTAGCTGCCGTACGTGCTCCGTCATTTGCGGCATGCCGCTGGCGATTGCAGGGCGGCGGGGGCGATAACGTCAGGTCGATTGCGGCGATTAATTGTGGTCGTTGCGGGGATGAGGATGCCGCCGCCCCCTCAGCCACGGAGGAGCCTCCACCAACAGCTCCAACAGCTGCAGGGCCACCGGTGGCTATCCGCGTCTGCAGCTTGGCACGCATGACCGGCGTAATGTTCGCAGCAGTGGGTGCTCGGAACACGGCGTCGCCGCCAGCCGCCTCCGTCAACGGTGTCGTACACGCACCATGTACGGCTTCCCCGTCGCTGCTACTGCTACGACCACCCCAACCACGAGCTTTCTGGCTGCGCGTCGCAGCACGATTGGCACCGTCGCCGCCGCCGCCGTCGCCGTCGCCACTCCCGTGCTCGTCCA